GGTACAGCCATGGAATTGAGATCTTTGCATTAAACTTAGTTCTTTTGGGTCCAAACCAATCCCTATCTCCTCACCACTGTGCAGCCTTACCTTTTCCCAGAGTGCTCTAAGTGCAGACAGGAGAGGTAGGGGTGGCATTCATAAGAGGGAGTGTTTTCTGTGTAGTGACAGGGACCCCCACGTGATCCAGGAGGAATGTGGGCCTGCGTGGGGTTCTTAGAAGCAGAGAGGCAGGGGTGATGACTGACACTGCTGCACAGCCCTGAGAAGGGGGTGGGGAGCCACACCGTTCACCCCCACTGTGTTCTGGGCTGCTTTTAAAAAGATCTTTAAACATTCTGTTTACTCCTGTTTGTCCCACCTCCATGTATTTCCTTTTGGGAGCAGTATCAGGGCTATGTCCTGTAGCAGGGCCATGTGAACAGGGTAGAAGCTGTGAGAGTCCTGCTCCCCAGTGAGCAGGAGGAGAACGGACACCCTTCCCTGTCTGGCAGGGGTAGCTTTGCCAAGAATACTGGGCAGGCTCCTTCCTTGGGCCTTTAGCAGGGCTGAGAGTGGGGTGGGCTCAAGACTGGATCTGGCCTTTGGGGACCGAGAGTGGTCACAACAGACACCAAACCCTATTCCTCTCCTCATAGGGAATAGGAATGGACTTCTTCGTGTGTTTCTAAGGAGATGTGATCCTGGAAGCCCAAAATAGAATTTTGAGCCCATTTCTTTCTTTCTTTTTTTTTATTTGCAGTTTTTGGCCGGGGCTGGGTTTGAACCTACCACCTCCAGTATATGGGGCTGGTGCCCTACTGCTGAAGCCACAGGCGCCACCCTGAGCCCGTTTCTCTTCATGATCGTCATTCATTCAACAGATATTTCTTGAGTGTTAACTAAGGCCATGGAGTATATACTAGGAACTGAAATGTCCATGGAGAAGCAAGAAAGACAGGTGTTTTGCCTCGGAGGCCTTACAGTTTAGCAGAGGCGACAATTATGCAACATGACCATAAGTGGAGGAATGCAGGATGCTAAGAGAACGGAAGGGACGGGCTTGGCACCCAGCAGGTTGGCAGTCAACCTTTGTGGAAAGAACAACTGAATAGATGTATGTATATTGTCCCTAAACTATTACATTTCTAGCAAGTTATTAAGCAGGCACTTATGGGTAGACTTGGGAAGTCAGTCGCCAGGTATGACACTGGAATACACTGTCCCCCAGAAACAAACCACCCTGAAAAGAGAGCTTTGGGAACACTGTCGGTATCTGATCCATCTAGTGTGAAAGTATTCTGTTGTTTCTTAGCCTTTGTGTCCCCCACCCCTACTCCTCACACCCATCCCGAAGGACAGAGGTGGGGAGAGATGGGGCACTGCTTGGAAATATTTTCAAAGGCTCCATGAAAGTCCCTGGAGTTGGTTGGAAAGAGCCGCAGTACTTGCCTGAATGGCACCGAGGTTCTCAATGAGTTGTTCAGGAGTAGATGATCCCAGGAGCACAGAACTCACACCTTCGTTTCTCAGGCACCAGGCTGGGAAGGAAGAACACTGGTCAGGGCGTCCAGGCCTTCGCACTGGTGATTAGCTTATAAACACCAGCTATAGCTGTTTGTTCCAGCCAAAAATTCATTAACTCTTTGTGGAGGATGTACAGTGTTTTCTAAGATTAAAAACCTGAGCAGGGCCCCTGTTGGGTAAGAGATTTGACAGAATCTGTGCATTTGAATTGTGGGCCTAGGGGCCTTATGCTTTCTGCATGAGGCCTTGCCCCTAAATTAGAGCATTTAATCTGCTCACCCATCCTAGGAACACATACTTGTTCCTGAAACCACCTACCGCCCCTCAGATGGCTGGATTCCTCCCTCCACCTGGGCCCATGGTCTCCTGTCTGTCTTCTCACCGCCTCACTTTCCCTCATCTGCTGTACAGAGTCCCGGATGTCTATGATTCCTTCGCCTCCACCCACCTGTCAGCATTCTCTGGTCCTCCGTTTCTTCCTAACTCAGGATTCGTCCTGTGCTGATTATCTAAGTTACTTTCTCACCGACTCTCAAACCCCTCGGTCCTCTCCTTCCTCTGCTTCTCTAGCAAATGCCCATGTGTGTTTTCTTCTGCTACTTGAGAGCAGCTGAGTGTGCTGGAGAGTCAGACGAGCCTGTGGTTGGTGCCTCTGTGTTTTTTGATCTCACCCAGCTGAACTTCCACCGGCCTGGCCCTCTGTCATCTCAACCCCAGGCTGGGTTCCAACCCTCCAGCATCCGTATATGTGGCTGGCACTGTTACCATGGTGCTACTGGTGCCGATGGGTTGGGGTCTGTGCGTTTCTAACAAGCTCCTGGGTGATGCTGATGCTACTGATCTGGGACTGTGCTTTTTAAATAATTGTGATCTACCCATCAAAATTTATCCATTTCAAGTGTACATTAAATAAGTTTCAGTAAATTTTCCAACTACCATTTTTAGTGTGCAGCCTTCACCACTTTTAATACAGTTTTAGAACATTTCTGTTACACTAATAAGATCCCTATTCCCGCCTCCAGCCCCAGGCAGCCACTAATCTACTTTTTGTCTCTGGATTTATCTTTTCTGACATTTCATCTAAATGAAATCATACAATATGTGGTCTTTTGTGCGTGGCTCCTTTCCCTTAGCATATCATGTTTTCTAGGTTTTCCTGAGTGGTGATGTATCAGTATATACCTTCTTGTTATAGCTGAATACTGTTCCGTCCTGTGGATACTGGGCCCACACTGTCAGAGTCACGGCTTGAGGTCAGCTGTCTTCTCCATCCCTGACACTACTGCCCTCATTCAAGCTCCTGCCATCTCTCCCTTACTGCCAGGTTTTCCTGCCTCTTGCTTGGGTTTCATACACCTGGCGGTGGGTTCTCTAAAGCAAATCTGATCAGGTCGCTTCCCTGGCTACAAGTCCTGTAAGGTGAAGCTCTTGGTCTTACCCTGGCAAACCTTACATTCAAGTTTCACGTCTCCCTAACTTGAACTTTGTGCTTTGGGAGCACCAGACTGTTTATAAATCCTCTCCAACCTCCAGCATCAGACTGCGTTGCTCCTGGTCCTCCTTCTCTTCCTCCTCCTGGAGCCTTTTGCTCAGCTGTACCCTTTGCCTGGAATATCCTTTCAGCTTCTCCCTTCTTTTGCTTCACTAATATCTCCTCAGCATTTGTGTTTTCCCAGCGGGTTGCCTTCTCCCAGAGTCCTTCCTTGATTCCCAAGCTGGGTTAGTCACCCTTGCTCTGCTCTTAAATTCCCTGACCCCTGTGACTTTCTCTGCACTACAACACTATATTAAAACTATCTGTTTATTTGCTTGATTTGCCCACCAGGCTGTGAGATGTGTCTTATTTGCTGCTGGTTTCTCGGCAACTAACCCGGTATCTGGTGCACACACTTATTAAATGTTTGCTGAATAAAGACAGGCATAGATGACTGATGGACATCCTCAAGCACCTCTTCTGCCCTCCTTTGGGGATGACCCTGGTGTCAACTGATTCTCTTAAGTTGTCTCCATGGCTGGGCCTTTTATGGCAACCATTGCATCAAAATAGTGATGTACAAAGGCAGCAATCCGAGTGATTCCAGGCTCTTCTGGGTGAGGCTAGGGGCAGGCTGTCTTATTTATTGCTTCCCCCCCACCTTTTTTTTTTGAGACAGAGTCTCACTAGGTCGCCCTTGGTAGAATGCCGTGGAGTCACAGCTCACAGGAACCTCAAACTCTTGGGCTTAAGCAATTCTCTTGCCTTAGCCTCCCAAACAGCTGGGACCACAGGCACCCACCACAACACCCGGCTATTTTTGGTTGCAGATGTCATTGTTACTTAGCAGGGCCAGGCTGGGCTCGAGCCCACCAGCCTCAGTGTATGTGGCGGGCGCCCTATTCACCAAGCTATGGGCACTGAGCTGTGTTATATATTGCTTTATACTAGAACTCTTTTGGGCTCTAGTGGGTAGATTGAGGGCAAAGCAGGTTCTAGGTAAATTATTATTGCTCATAAACTACCTGATGTTATCAGCATCTGGTTCTCTAC